ATCACATATCCCTTTTAAAAAGTTTTCTCCCTCATCTGTTTCAATGCAGTATGCATTATTGAACCCATCTTTCTCAGTCTCTCCTCAACCCCGATGTCAGTCCTGTTTTACAACAGTGGCACCATGCAGTATTTGTCCTTTTGTGACTGAGATACTTCACTCAGCATAATGTCCTCCAGAGTCTGTTCTGTTTTATAACACTGGCATTACACAATATTTGAGGTTGACCTCTGAGGTCTCTGTTGCAAATTTCTCCAGCTTCTCCCCCTCCCCAGTCCAGCTTCTCTCATCTTCCTGACTCCCCTACAGAGAGATGGCTCCTGAGAGCACTTCCCTTCTAACCCTATATGTAACTCCAGAGCCTGTGTGCCAGGTAACCCAACCCAAGATGCCTGAGTCAATTTCCTCAATGTATAAAATTGGAACAACATTCTTAGGAAGATTAAATACGGTATTTTAAGTGAAACATCCAACACTTAGTAGGTTCTTAGTAAGCAGTAATGATATAAACAAAGTGTCATCCAGTTGGGCATGGCTCTGAACAACAGATCTGAACCTTGACCTATCCAGTGTCACCCTCGTGATCTCCAACATGCTTGTCCATTGGTACAGAAACTGTGTCATTCCATCTTTTTGAGGGTTGTCCTCTCTCTCAGTGAGCCTACACCTCTCCTGGCATGATCTCTTTTCTAAGGACTGGTCCCTTCTGACAACATGCCCAAAGTCTGTGAGATGACGTTTCACCATCCTCGCCTCTAAGACGCACCCTGGCTCCACTTCCTCCAGAACAGTTTCATTTGTTCTTTCAGAAGAACATAAGGTGCTCAGTACTCTTCTCCAACACCGGTTCTTCTTTAATCTTCTTTTTTCATTGTCCAACTTTCACATGCACACAAAATAATTAAAAATACAGTGGCTTGGATCAGGTGCGCTTTAGTCTTTATACTAATGTTCTTAGTACTTTGGAGAGAAGCTCTGGCAGCCTTGTGGGTAGAAAGTTGTACTGATAACCTAGAGGTTGATTGGTTCAAGTTCACCAGCTGCTCCAAGGGAGAAAGATGGGCAGTCTCCTCCCATATGATTTACAGTCTATAAAACTCCCTGAAAGCAGCAAGCTATGAATAGGTTATGACTTGACAGCAATGAGTTGGGGTTTTTTAATAGCACTGGAAACTATATAAAAATATACGTAAATGCTAACTGCCTGAGTTCTAAGCTCTTTATATGCTTGGCATCATTTTCTCCTCACAACATACCTAGGAGAGAGGTACTGCTATGATACCCATTTTACAGATGAGGAAACTGAGACACATAGAGGCTCAGTAATGTGTTCTGGATACCCAGCTCAGAAGTACTCAGCTGTGGCACAGAAAATCTGCCAGCTAGTGGATCAGGATTATGATGCCGGAGCCAGAAGGCGGTTTGTGCTGCAGGTAGGAGGGAGAACCTTGTCCATCTCACCTCAAGGCAATTTCAAGGCTCTGGTGCATAGGAGTCCTGTGTAAACTGTCATGTGCTGGGTTCCCCTGAGGTGTGGTCATCTCTCATGATTCTTTCTAGAACGATGATAATAGCGCCCATTTGTGGTGCTCTTACCATTTGCCAACCCAGCGTCAAACACTTGACGAGCATGATGTCATTTCATTGTCATAAGCCCATGAGGTAGGTGGGGGTCACTGTCTGTTTTTCATAGGTGAGGAAATGGGGGACTTGGGGAGCTTAAGTAAATGGTCCCAGGCCCCAGGCCTGGGAGGAGGCAAGGTCAAGTCAGCCTGGCCTCTCACTCCCAGGCCTTCAGCAGGGAGGCCCTGAAGCAGCCTCCCTCCTGGATACTGTCTTGCTGATCAACAACAGAGAAGATAAGCTTACAGGCGCTGGTCCATCTCCCAGAGCAGGGGTCCAGACCCAGCCCACCCAAAAGAAGTCCTCAGTTTGAAGGGGAAGCTCAGCTTCTGCCTAGCGAGAACTCTTTAAGTCTGAGGGGAAGTCATAGCCCTTGTCTTAGGTCTTCCATTGTGTGAGGGAGACATTAACCCAGTCCTAGGGGGAACCCAGAGCTCTAGTGGCCTAGTAACAAGAAGCTGTGCTGCGATCCCGAAGGCATGTGGTTTGAGGCCACCAGCTGCTGTACAGGAGAAGGATGGGCAATCTCTTCCCTGTTTGATTAACTGCCTCTGAAAACCCGCCAGAGGATCAGCTGTGGGTCGGTTCCAACTGGACAGTACACAACAACAAGAGAGGGGACCCAGTCTAATGGGGGAGATTCAGCCATTTGGGGGAGACTCATCAACTTTTTTCTACAAACAGGGAGCTTAGATGCCAGAGGAAGTGCCAGAAAGGAGATATAGTGATGAGAAGAGGCTGAGATAATAGAGGAGAGGCTGGAGTCAGGCCAAGGCCGAGGCCAGCGACCAAGGCCAGCCTCTCCTGCCCCGCCCCCTCCCTTGTAATAAGCCCGTGAATAACTGCAGATGGGCAGGTAGCTGGTCATGAGGACTTGATGAGATCTCACGAGGAAGCCACACAGCCCTGTGCAGGACCTGGTGACTCAGGAACAGAGTTGCTCCCCCACCCCCGTTTGGCTCCACCTGCTGCGTGGGCTGCCACCCCACCTCCTCTTGCTGTAAGGCCCAGCTAGTCTTCTCTGGGCCTCAGTTAACCCATCTACAAATGGAGGGAGCCACCCTGCACCATCTCTGTGCCTCTTTGATTCAACTGCCTCAGAGGGTCACAGTTTTACCAGAAATCCTTGGCTGGGTCATGTGCCCTGGAAAAGCCCAGATCTCTGATCCTATAGTGGGGTCTCTGTCCCTCACCAT